CCCCCCCCCCCCCGCCCGCCCAGGTACGTCTTAGCACGAATCTCCGAGATCTACGACCCGGCCTTCCTCTTCTACTGCAACGAGCACACCTACGTCATCGCAGAGAATCTGCTGTGCTACACCAGAAGCCTGGATCCGTCCGACCCTGTGTACCTCGGGAATCGGTTCCGCAGGGAAAGCGAGAGAGACCAGGTGTGTGTGTGTGTCTGTGTGTGTTTGTGGGAAAGGTTTCTTCGTACCATGTCGTGTGCGTTCCTTGTGCTGGTATCGAGAACAGTCACAGTACAGTGAGAAGGCGTACACGTCATACCGGGAACGAAGGCCGAAAAACAATTCGATGCCGCATGGGCGAAGGAGGGATTGTGTTTGTGTGCGTCTGGGAAAACCTTGTGGATGTTTGGAGGTGCAGGTGTTTGTGTCTGTTTGGGTAGAACTTGCGGGTTTGGCAACATGGTCAAAGATGTGGATGTCGCGGCTGGTGTTCGTGTTTGGGTGGGTTTAGGCTGAAGTTGCGCTTTTGGCGATAAGGTCAAGGATGTGGCGCTGGGTTCCCAAAATACCTCTTACAATTGTACTGCCCTTGTTGACGATTGTTTTTTAAGCATGTCGAATCCTCTTTACCGTGCCATGATTTTCCCACGCCGCGGCGGCGGTCTGTGTCACTCCCACCGCCTCGCCTGCTGATTGGCTGACGCAAAGCGAATGAATCGTTTTGTTTTGTGTTCTTGCACCGCGCAAGCAGGGAAAAGCCCTTCTCAACTCCGGAGCGGCGGGCTTCATTCTCAGCAGAGGATCGCTGTCCTTGCTACACCAGGCGTGGCGTGACGGTGAGGGCGGAGGGCGAGCAGATAGTCTCGGGGGCTCCGTGGATCACAGCGGGGGGCACAGTGATGGGAAGGGAGAGGAGCGGGGACCGCCGACTGAGTGCGTGGCCAAATCCAACTACGAGCGGGGAAACCCAGGTGGGTGCACGGGTGGGAGCATTTCGATGCGATCGTGCGGGTAGATTTGACGAACGTTTTTTTGCTCGCAGCACCGTGTGAGACAAGTAACACGCTGCACTTATCGCACACACGTGGCCAGCACTAACTTGAGTTGGATCGGCCTCTTCAGCCGGAGCATGGTAGCGCATACGGCGCGGTAAAGACGTGTTCACACCATGTTGTGGCATCGCCTTAACTTCTAAACTTGCTCGAAAAAAAGCCAGGGTTTCCTGTTCGCTTAACATAAGACGATGCCAAGTGGTGTCCGAAACCTCCTGGAAGACAAGCGTGATGCTCGGATGCAAGCCAGTCCGGCACATGAGCAGATCGTGCGCGATCGTTGTCGCCAGGCTAGCCGGTATTGGCAGTCGCAGCACGCGACACCACTTACTTCAATACCCGGGGGGTCATGAACTTCAGCATTAAATATTCGATCAAAACTTACGGAAGAACTTGGCCATAACAACAGGCTAGCGGTTGAACACCCAAGCTTTGCTTCCGTGGCGTGTAGCACGTGCTCTCCTGATGCTCGCTGTTCCCCTGCCACAACCACACGCCCGTCCCTCCCTTCCCCTTTTCCGTCATGCAAGAATCTGCGTGACTCTCTCTCTCTCTCTCTCTCTCTCTCTCTCTCTCTCTTGCGGCGTGACAAACCAAGCCTCCTTGATTCACGGTTTCACCATGTACTTCGTAGTATCTAGGCTGATTCTTGTTCCGGGATTGGGTTGGTTGAGTGTTCACGGGTGCCACGTTCGTACGTGCCCGTCTCGAGATATGCGCCTCTGTTCCCTCTTGCTCAGGATACAGTCCGCAGAGTTGCCACCCTCGCTCGTACGCTTTTCACACACCGAGACAGGCGTCTGTTTTTAGTACTTATCCGCCATGACTTGCGATTGTGCTGTGCCTTTCGGTTGCTTGTTTCGCCGCATTTTTCCTTGGTTTCTCGCGTGGGTGTGCATGTGTGCATCACCCTGACTCGGTGGTCGGAAGCGCAACTTCTATTGTTTAATTGTGTTTGGTGCTCTGTTTGGTTTTCTCCAGCTCAGGCGCACGGTAGTTAACACGTCTCCCGTTCATCCCATGCAGGCATCACCCTGGCTCGGTGCTTGGCGCACCTAAGAGTTTACGCTATGGACACGACGGGCAGCCAGGTGGGTTTGTTGTGCTTGTTGTTTTTGTTTTTGTTTTAGTATAGGCGGGCTGCTTCATCGTCGTCATTGCTGCTGCCGCTGCCGCTAGCTGTTGTCGTTGCTGCTGTGGTTTTTGCTGCTACTGCTCCTGCTGCTTCTGCTGCTGCTGCTGCTCAAAATACAGCAGTATTGCGTGTATGAGAGCGCCGCAGTCCCACAACGTTGCCCGGCTTTACTGTGCAATGTTGTGATGGCTGGCGAACACTGCTGCATGTTGCGACGTTACGATACCGACCATTCCATTGCCATCAGGGAGGGCAGCGGTTCAACGCGTACGGTCCAGTCCGTCTGGCGCAGGGGAAGATCGACCAGTGGTGGGTGCCTAACGTTGTCGTCCGTGTTGCCGTTGTTGCTGTTGCTGTTGTTGTTGCTGCTGCTGCTGTTGTTACTGCTGCTTTGCTGTTGCTTTGCTGCTGCTTTGCTGCTGTTGCTGTTCTGTGTTGTTGGCTAAGACGACAATGTTGTTTGTTGTTAATGTTGTGCTGTCGGTGTTGGCATTACTGTCGTTGTTATTGTTGTTGCTGCTTTGCTGCTGTGGCTGTTGTTGCTGTTGCTGCTGTTGATTGTTGCTGTTGCTGCTGGTTAAGTTGATTGTGGTGTTGTTGTTGCTGTTGTTGTTGTTATTGATGTTGGTGGTGGTGGCTGCTCCTGCTGCTGCTGTTGTGGCTACCGTTGCTGCTGCTGCTGCTGTTTTTTTTTGTGATGTTGTTGTTGCTGCCGCTCTTGCTGCATCGCCTTAAACTTGTGCACTGTGGCCTTCGCCCGCCAGACACGTTTAACCTCTGCGCTCAATAAACGACTACCGACTCTCGTCTCATACATACCATCACACCATTATCAGGTACAAGGACGTTCACGCCTCGGATCCAGGGATGTGGCGAGCCGGCCCCGACTGCTGTTCTTCGGACACGATCTCCTTCCATTACGTTGGACCAGCGGAAGCCAGAGCGATGCACCACATCCTACACCACAAAGACACGTGAGCTAAAGGATGAACCCCATGCATGTGTCTCTTCATAATTTGCATCGACCCGTTGGCCAATGAAGAGGCGGCAGTCTCAGTGCGGCTGGATGCGTGTGTGTGGACGGGTGCGAACGGGAGAGATGGAATAATAGCATGTGCGGAGGGGAGGCGGGGGGTACCCTTTGTTTTCGGTGCAATCCTCACAAAGGTCTGCGCTGCTTTGTGATCTGGTACACGTCAGACAGGGTTTGGTGTAGACTGGTGTGTTTTTCGTGTTGGTCTTTTTACGACCTCGCAGGAACGATATCTTCCCCAAGTTTTTTTTTTTTTTCTGTTCCTCCTTCGGCGCTCGGGCGTGCGTTTGTTTCTTCTCTGCCGGGGACACCCGTGTTGCCACACCAACACACCATCACACCATCACCATCTTCGCACCACCACTCCAACAACAACAACCGCAATTGACGACGACAACATCGACGACAACGACGACGACCACGACGACGACCACATGTACATGCGCACGCACGCGCACCCAGCTACCTGACGGAGGGATACGAGGAAGCTCTCAGCCTGTGGCCCGCTTCCGGAGAGTCCCTCGGCCCCTACGCCGCCCGCCCGAAGGCAGGGGACGAAACCTTCGACCTGCTCTTGAAGAAAATACGGGTTTGTTCTGAGGTTTGACAGAGAGAGAGAGAGAGGGGGGGGGGGGGAGAGAGAGAGAAAGAGAAGGACCTCTCTCCATGAAGGGCACAAGGCTTGCCTGCTCTGACTGCGACGCCTTGCGGAGGGCGACTCGTGATCGGAGGGCAGCCTTGGCGTCTTCGATGGCCTTCAACCGCTCTTCTGGGGTCTTAGGNGCTTTACATACCAACAGAGGGTTGCGCTGTGTCTGATGAAAGCGCTGTTTTTGTGTTTGTTGTTGATTTTGTGTGTGTTTTTCTTGGTGGTGTTGCTTGTTTCGCCAACCCGGCGAAAACTTGTTCGGAACCCATCCGCGATGACACGATGCGTACGTAATCGACCAGCAACATCTGAGCACGAGTTGCGCCCGGCGTACTTGTACTGTGTGTGTGTCTTTCTCGTGGGGTGAACCCTGTACGACTTCCTGTTCCACAAGTTTTGTTCGGATTGGCGGCACCAGCATCAAGCATTGCATGCGCGCCCCACGCGTGTATGCGCAGCGTTTTGGCGGTAGGTTTGCAGAAATCGTTCTTGTTGCCGCCTTCTATTTTTTGGCGTCATGGGTTGCTGTAGTGCCAACGCTAACGAAGCGCAGCATTCGTGTGTGCGAGCGTGCGAACTGGACATCTTTCGGGCAGATTTCGAAGCTTCTGTGCTTGTGCGCGCGCTGCTTTAACAGCTTATTTTCTGTGTGCATGTGCGTGTGTGGGGGGTAACGACAACTGATACCTGCTGTATGGGTAGACTCACGCGAGTTTTTCATCTTGAGGGAAATGGATGAACAAACTGCATTTATCCGTCCATGTTGTTGGTGTTCCGGTGGCCGATGACGATCTCATCTAATAGCCGGCGGTCACACTTTGCCTGTCTCACCTCTTGCTGCTGCTGCTGCTTATTGTTCTTGTTGTTGCTGCCTTCTCTTGCACGGAGACGATTGTGTAAAAGTAGTGTAATATGATGGGGGTAGGGTTTGCTTGTTGATGTCCTTTTCCTCGCCTGACTCGATGTGAGAGACGGCCTCTGTCTCGGATGTTATGTACACCTGTTTTTTTAGTTTTTCCCCTGCTCGGTCTAGAAAGGAGTTAGTCTCTCGTATGGTCGATAGGTATGCCCTTTGGCACGCAAGTAGGTGAGTTAGGCGCTTGTTTCCCTCTCGCGCGTCTTTTCTGAACTTGGCATCGTCGCCGCTACTAGTAACCGGCGGACCAGTGACAATACGCCGGCCTTCGCCCATGTGTGTGCATGCGCGTTCGCTCCTCTGCTACGGATTGGACCCGTGGTAAAGGCCCATGGTAAAGACCCACGGTAAAAATACGGCTTCTTCTGTTCTTCCCTTCGGGGCGTTTTTTCTTCTTAGTTTTCGTCTCATCATGTGTTCAGACGCGTTTTACTCGAGAGGAGAAAATCGTTTTTGGACCATGGCCAAGTCACCTTCGCTCGTTCCTGCCTGATTTTCGGACTGTTGTCAGCATTTCGTTGTGGTGCCTGGTACGGCTGTGTGCTACTTGGCATGCATGCGTTTCTCGGGGGGGGGGGGGGGGGNGGGGGGGGGGGGGGGGGGGGGGGGGGGGGGGGGGGGGGGGGGGGGGGGGGGGGGGGGGGGGGGGGGGGGGGGGGGGGGGTCTGCGTTGGTAGTCCTGTGTGCTTCTGGCAGATCCGAGCCTACGTTGACAGATCCGGCGTGCTGTAGACGACGCGGCAGGGGCCAATGGCAAAAGAGACCGACCGGTCGTGTCAAACCTATGTATCGTGTGACAACGTATGTAGGTGGCGGCGAAACCCTCCGAGGTACGCTAAATGGCGTGCGATAGGCTCGTTTTCTAACCAACCCTAGCGAGAAACGTATGCAATATTCAAACACAAATCAAGGTGTGAACCTGTCTGTTCTTCTCTTCTACTTTCTAGTGACCGCGCGTTGTGCCGTATCTTCGAGGCTACGTATCATAGACCAAACAAACAACACAACCATGTTGTACAACATACCCAATGCTGCAAAACAGTGCCGCCAGCTTTTTTAACACCCTTGCCGGAACAAAAAAGAAGGGGAAGGGCGACACATTCACCGACGCAATCGATCGCGTCTTTACAATTGTTTGCCGCACACACATGGAGGCTTTGAAGATCCCCTGTTGCCTCAAGGCCCCAATACCTCTCCTCCTGTCACCTAAATCCCACCCCCCCTCTACCCTCTACCCTGCGTGTCCCTCTCACTCTCTCTCCTCGCTTTCCCCCCTTCCATATCTCTTCTCCACCGCCCCATTCGTAATCGCCAAGACACCGTCTACATCTTAGCCCCGTCCCTCCACCACATTGAGCTGGGCAAAGCAACAAACGAGCCTCCCTCCCTCCCCCCCCCCCCCCCCCCCCCCCCCCCCCCCCCCCCCCCCCC